TTTCTCCTTCACACACTTTTGCTGCTTGTTTCATTCATTTTCCAAACTACTGCAGCTGTGGCCTGGCTGGCTAACATTACCTGGCTGACACGGTTTGGGAGAGACGATTTATCTGGACGGTGTAGCAGGGTCAAATGCAACACAGACTGCCACTGATGTATCTGACCAATCATATCATACTGTTTAGGTTAAAAAAATATGAATGTGGTTCTTATTGGTTATGTATTGTGTCATGACCTTTTTGAAAAGAACTCCTGTTTTGTTTTTTTATTGGTGCTGCTTGCATGGGCCTTCAAGTGGCGTGGGCCCCTGGACACGTGCACAGAATGCCCACTGGATAATCTGGCCCAGCTGTTAACACTCTCTTCAAAGCCAGGCTATACTGAGTAATTAAATGGTTATGTTTGTGCTGTTGTGTAAATTTGGTGTTTTAAAGGGTTAGATCAAATTGATCAAAGTCAAACACGAACACAAATAAACTAACTGATGGAGGTAGTGGTAGACCAGCAGCTTCTGTGTTCAACAAGCCAAAATTACTGTTTTTTTTTTTTCAGTGGAGTCTGATGGTTTTGATGAGTGCATGGTTGGGGAACGGAAGCAACGAATGGCTTCCCTGTCAGAGAGGGATGTCTGATGGAAAGGTAAATTGAGGAAAATATTTTCAATATAGTGCACACTTTAGCTGTTTTTGATTTTTTTAGGTGAGACTTGTTTTAGTTGGGACTTTTTAAGGTGGCTAAAATAAATTCTGCTGCTGCACCCATCCACAACAGTACATTGCTTAGCTCTGCTTTGGCACTCCTGTCGCTTCTCTAAACTCCTGTTTGTAATACCCTGAGTATTTATAAGTACCCCACACAGGCCCACTGCAGAAAATCTAAACTATCCCTTTAAATAGCTCTGGTTCTGCAGGTCAGTACAGGGAAAGTGGAAATCAAACATACAGACCTGTTGATCGTGCAAAGTCCAGGATTTTTATATACACTAGCTTGTTTGCACTGGATGATGTCCAACATAATATGGGAGGAATTTAATGCTAACACACACCAGAAGATAACTGCAGGAACTGACTGTGCTGAAGCCAAACCTTTGTTGTAGTGTTTTTTCTCATGGAATTCAAAGACTGTTTGAAGTTCTTGTTGTTTTGGGGAGGTTTCCACTCATCTGGCAAGTTAAATCATCACCAGCTATCTTAAAATGTCAAATGTTTTCAGAAACTTGGTAAATACGGTCCTATCAACATGCTTGTTTTTTAAAGCTTTGACTTCTAGTAGGTATTTATAGGTAAACATTGTGAACATTGTCGGGACTTGAATGCCTCAACAGTAATGCATCAATAATTAAATTTGATTTAAAGGTATTAAGAAAAGTTATTGTACATTTATGATTCTGAACAGTTCAGTGCGTGTGACACATACATGTGACTTAAAAAGTGAGTCACAGGTCCATTCTGAATGGACTGCAAGTGACTGGCCAATGTGTCACCTCTGTACAAAACACACTTTATTTTCAAATACAGTAAATTTTCAGCACAGAGCTTTTATTTTGAAGTGCTGTTTCATGCTGCGGAGTGAGTGACTATTGAACAACCACTTGACAGAGACAGCAAACTATATCGATGACATGGCCAAACACCAGTATGACGATGAATGTATTAAACTGTGTGGACCTTGAATTAATAACTAAGGAGAAATCTGGACCCCGTGGCTGGACCGCCTGGGAACCACTGTTATAAATTACACAAGACATCTGCCTTCAAAAACATATAAACATGACAGTTGTTTACACAGGTTTCTGATTTCTTGCATAATTCACATTCAGTGAATTCATTTCAGTGCACTTCCGTAACACAGAACTGTGGAGTTTTATTTCTAAAAAACAATGCAGTGTTTCCATGTAGTGGAGTAGAAGGAATCCTTGAGGTCCAACAAACAGGTTGAATGCATTTTCTTCCTCATAAAACATTTGCAAAACCATTTTTTATATATTTAAAATTGTTTACTGTTTGTATCCATGTTTGTATCCACTCTTTTTCGCTGCCTTTTGTGGCACATTGCTACATTTCTTTGTGCTTTACTGCTACTAACTGTCGATCCAGCCTGGTCTCATTGAAATATGTGAAATGGATACTCTACATCTACTCCACTGGATACTCTAAACTCTTAACAACACATTATGTGGTGGGTGGCAAAAAATGTATTTAAACTGTGTTATGGAAACAGGAAACAATGCCAATGCAAAGTCAATGAGAAACTTCTGTTGTGGTGGAAACAAGAATTACTGTAAAACTTAAATTAGTAGCTTAGGCTATTATTTGCTTGAATCACTGAAGTCACCAGGCTCACATTTGGGACAGGCATCTATATGAGAGAGGCCTTTAATTCCTTTTACACAAAAGTGTTGCTCAGCAAAGATGGAAAAAAGGATCAAATCATTTGAACCAGTATGAATATTATATAAAAATTAGGCTTCAAGTAACAAATCAATTGCAAATCATTCATTTCATCTAGCTCCAACAGACAAGGCATTAGAGAGAGAACATTATGACACTCTTTTTACAGCACTCTGTGGTACCCGACATACTGACCCAGCACCACTTTATCCTGTTATAACTTAGATTAGTTCATATGACAAACCCTTTTCATTCTTTTTTATCAGTGGGCCCTTACAGACTAAAGGAATATGAATAACTTACCAGGTAATCAAGGAATGGAAACGTATTCAGACTTTATGACCGCTTCAGAGGAAGGGAGTCACCATTTTCTTCTCATCATGCCATTAAATTGGAATGATTTTGGAATGACTTTTATAGTGCTCATTGTTTCAAGTGAAGCGTGGAGAATCTAACTGAGCTAACAATGTGTAGCATCTCCAAATTGACAAGAGTTTAAACATTTATATCTGTATGATACGCAAAAAAATCCTCCGCACATTGATATAGACTTCACTATCGAACTTTAATGAAGGGAACAACGCGTTTCGCGTTTAGCGTCATCAGGTTCACCTCATCAGGTCCTGATGAGGTGAACGCGTTGTTCCCTTCATTAAAGTTCGATAGTAAAGTCTATGTCAGTGTGCGGAGGATTTTTTTGCATATCTTATGATTTACGTTCCTGCTGCCTACCAGCACCTGACGATCTGTGGCTGTGCAAGGAGATAGCTCAGTCTCTGTTGTCCTGTCCAAGCAGGACAGTGAGGTGTGTGGTTCCTGCCATGCGGGGTCATGGCTTCAGGGTTAGTGTTCACCCGGTGGTTGTGTTTAATATGGGCCTTATTCTGTTCATAAAAAGGGGAACAGAAAAGGTGGACGGTGTTTTCCTTTGCAGCAGGTGACTTTCGTCGGTCTTGGCTGTTGTCCCCTGAGGCTTTATTTTTTTCTTCAATAAAGACAAAATCTGTTCTGATCAGTGAACTGTTGTCCTGAGTGTTTTTAGCCTCACTACACCTGCTGCCTGATCTTATTTGCTATTCAGTTGACCCATATGGTGGTGTGTTGACCTGATATGAAATAGAACAGATGGTTACAGAAGGTAACCATCTGTTCTATGAATGAAGGTCAACACGCCAGCTTGCATTGTCATTCAGAAGGCTTGATTGCTTGATATTGCTTGATAGCACCACTGGTGTACAAAAACTCTACAGGGTACCTTATGTTGTGCCTTACATGTGCACCTGATGTAAAAAAAAAAAAAAAAGAAAAGACAGGACTGTGTCAGACTGGGTTGATTTTTTTCTCAGACTGCCATGCCTGAGCTGAAAATACAAATGCCAAAGGTTACTTCAGTAAGCAGGATACTGCCCTGAGTACCAGCTCAGTCTTTATTGTTTTTGAATAAAAATAACTACTGTACACATTCAAACACAAGAATGTAATTTAACTCACAAAAATGTGAAGTGTAGAAAAAATTAAAATAAAAGATAAAAGACTGTGTTCTTGTTTATACTCTCTTTGAAGATGATTGGGCCTGCTGGTTGAGCAAACATGAAAGCTGGACTGCTGGATGGGTCACATGGCTAAAATCAACCTTTTGTAGGGAGGAAGAAAATGGGAGTAAATCCTTTTGTTTATGAGAGCAGAATGAGATAAATAAATGAACAAAGACAAGTTCTCTCAATTCAGTCATTTTGATTTTCAAATTCAGTTGTATTCTTCCAAATTTGCCCTAATCAGATTTTAAAAGTACATTTTGTCACAACTGATGCAGTTTCCTTTGTGATGACCATGCTTACTTCTTCCAACTCTGCTCTCACATCACATTAGAGTAACTGTAATGACCTTGACACATAAAAACAATTGCAACTTTGTCTTCCAAGTTGTTATCCCGTGTGTAAATGTTTGGCTTCATCTGAGGAACCTTACTGCTCTCTGAGTAAGAAGGGCGACCCGCCCACTGAGCAAACAGCAGTCTTACAACTTTATTCTACCACTTAGTACCCTTAAATCAACATTGCATCAATTATCAACTCAGAAAAAATGTTTTTGAAGGCTTTGCATTCCTATGCTGCTGCTGTAACTTTAAACAGACCTCCCAATGTTTTTTGTTCCTACAAGACTTACATGCAGGTATTAACAAAGGGCTGTCACTTCTGAGTTAATTGCTCTGATGTCATGCATCACTTGTCTCTCCTATAACATAGGATCCATGTGACTGGGTGCCTAAGCCCAACTGGCCTCTACATAACCTCATGATCACTGCACTTGAATACTGTCCAAGCAAGAAAATTCCCAAAATATTTGCCTCCAAAAACTGATTTCCCATTAATCAGCCATTTGCCAACACAAACATGAACCAATAGCTGTTACAATGTATTTAATATTACTGTCAATGAGGCCAGGAGGGGGGGTGACGTAGCCAGGCTCTTTGAAGTAAAGTCAAAGAAGGCGGAGAGGAGGCTTGTCTCCCTGCCTTTCTTCCTCCTGGTTGACTAGACATGTGATTAGCATTGCTGTCTGCTATTTAGTTTGCCCTGCAGTCAGTCTGGTCTGCCTTCAGAGGAAATACTGCCTGCAGGCTACTCTGTCAACACCAAGGTAAGATATATTTACATACATTGGATCTCCTTATGATGATAAGAGAAAAAAAATGTGTTAATGTACAAGTGTTTGTATCTAAGAGACAGGAATTTTAATCCAATCCAAGATTTTTGCTACTTAAACAGTCTGTGGGCTCATTTCAAATAAACTCATGAACTCCAAAAGTGTTTTTAGAAAACTAATTTCATGCATTCAGTAATTTTTAAGCAAATGACAGATAGCCTTTGCCAACTTAAATGTACTGAAAGGTACCCCAGATTGCCAGAATTAAAACTCCTTATACATGCGTGTAAGGGGGTTTGGAGTGGAATAAAGTAAAAATGTATGCTTTATCTGTACTGTTCTTACTGAACTATTCCAGGTTTGTGTCTCCACACCTGTTATCAAGCCAAACCTTTTGCAAACACAATGCGTCCTTCAAATATGCACCTGTTGAGTTGTGCGCATCCAACAGGAATCAAATACAGAAAATCCTCTGTAGACACCATACAATTAAGATTTCATTGGCTATGGAATAAAGACTACAATGCTGTAAGGAATATGTTGCTATTTTAAAATGCATATTAGCACAATGTTTCCTTAATACAACAGAAGTCAATACCAAGTTGCTCACACCTGCTAAGCAAATACATGCAGAGCCAATGTATACTGCTTGGCTGTACAAGACCTTAACTGTGGGAAAGTTATAAGCACTATTTTTCTGGATGAGTACTCACATTCTACCATTTAGATGTGACTTGTTTCCCTGTTAAACTTGCATGCTTGTTTTTCCCATTAGTGCCCAATTACATAAGCAGAAATTAAATTAGGTTGCCCAGTCTTTTTTACATGGCCTGTGGTAAACAACACAATTATGTGATGTTCCTGAGCATTCCTTTACTGATTATGTTGGTCTGTATTGGTTGTATGTGAAGACGTACAGTATGTGTGCACGGGTGCATCATTCTGTCAGCCTGAGTAGAGTCACCTCATCCTCTGTAACCCATGCTGCACCATGTGGAATATTTGGAAAAGTTCCATTTAACAGAGACTTGATTAAGATCCCTCAGCAATGTGATGGTTGAACTGTGCCAAACCATCCCAGATCACAGGACAGATGCATGTGGCAGAGAGGTTTTAAGCACCCTTATCTAAACCAATGCTCTAAATCACTGACCCATGATCAGTACTATTATTCTGGTCTGTTTTGTTTGGAGAAAACAGCAGCCTAAAAGACTGACAGCAGTTTTTTTAAGTAAGATTTAGGAATTGACTGTTGACTGAAAGCTTAAGAATGACTCTCAAACACATACAGTGTTTCATACCTAGTCTTTCATATATACAGTTGTAAAAGCTACACTGTAAAAGAAAATACACCACCCCTACCAAAAAGTGACCTGGGCCCTTTAATAAAATGCTAATTATTACTCATGTTTAAGTTTTGCTGATGAATGATTACCAGCAGTTGGGCAAATAATTATGGTCCTTGCATAGTAGCAAGAGAAAAAGAAGTGTGACCCATTTACAGCCAGAGTTGGGTACAAAGTAATGCTTTACAAAGTAGTAGAAGTCATGAAGCTTGTGGTTCGCTACGTGGTAGAAGAAATGCTGGCATTGTCTGCGGTGGAGTCTAAAACATTCTGCAGGTTTGTCAGTAAAATCCCCACTCGCTCCTACTCAGGAGGACTTGCATTATGCCTGGTACATACTACACGACTTTTCTGCCCGTTCTGAAAGTCACTGTGTCACATTACACGATTGTGGAGTCAGAAAATCGTGCCGTGACTTGGCCGACAGACATGATGGTACTCACCAATTATCCCCGGTCGTCTTTCACGACATGTGTGATGTCATCGGGTTATTCTTGTCCTATTTGTATTACTTTTACTATTATCTGAGTCACTGTGTGTGTGTTCATGTGCCAGCCGAAATGTTGTTGTAATCATCTAAAAGCGTCAGCAGATGGCAGGAGCTTCATTTGAAGCACAGTATGTAAACATTCAAGCTACTGTATCCTCCACAACAAGTTCCTACAAATATTTCACAATAAAAGCCTATTTAGAAAATGGAGGGATTCTCTCAGCGAGGTTATAAGTAGGGATGTCGGATCGGGTATCGGCGCCGATCACGTTATTTTTATAAAATTGGAATCTGTAATAAAAGATCGGAGGAATCAAAACAACAACAATGGCCAGGTTTTTCATCTATGTTGTTAACTGTTGCCTCCGCTTTCCAATGTATGAAGTGTGGCGATCCTGTATATTTTCTAAATATTTTTTTTATAAGACAGTCAGCTGATGGCTTGCTCACCTCCAGACACTGAGGTACCTCCAGACACACCCACCGGTGCTATCAGCCAGTGGGATGGCTCGATCAGCTGAGCCCAGGTAGACCGATCCCTACGTTATGCCGCTCCTGGCATTATAGCGAGAGTCGCCGGCGAGCGAGAAATGAGCCAGAAGTCCTCTGCGTATTCGGCCTACCACGGCATTTACACCGCTCAAAGTCCGCGAAATTGGTGCGCTTCCCCGTAGAATATCATCCATCCGGCCACCGGCCTCAACTCAGAGATTCCGCCATTGATATCAAAACGAAACAACGTCGGAGCGTTACGGCATTCACACACGGTCCCGTGAGATGGCAAAAGCCGGGGGTTACTTTCCGTTTCATTATTCATTATTTGGAACCTTCGGGCCGGGTTGATTTATTGTTTTGAAACTGAACCGAGTCAGAGCCAACAGTGGATTTTCTTTACCTCCTTGGTTGTGGGAAAACCTGGGGTGGAGTTTTCTTTTGTTTAGCGAACTGTGTGGATTGAACTGAACTGAACTGTGAACTGTGTGTTATTTGGAAATCCCGGAGTGGAGTTTTTTGTTTGAACTGGACTGAACTGACTAAACGGAGCGGAACATTTCTTTTCTTTGGTGGAAAAAATATATACTTTCTTGAAACTGATTACTGTTGTATTTGTATTTTTGAAAATTGAGTGTAATTCTTTTGTTCTACAGAAACCAGGTAAAAACAATTTAATTTTGGTGTTGAGGGACCTGTTTTATGGGTTTTATGATTTCTTTCTGGGGTTTCACTGAGTAAAAGAAAAATATTTGTTTCATGTGTCAAACCGCTAAAAAAGATATAGGCCTATTTTGTTTATTGAAGACAAGAAGAAGGTTTACATTTTGTGCCGCTGAACCACCGATAAGCTTTTTGGATATTATTTTAATAAAAAACAAACCTTACGGGACAACTTGGATGCATTCTTTTTTTTTTCTTTCTTAATGCTTTGCAAAGTATCGGATTGGACTCGGTATCGGACTCGGTTTCAAAATAAAGGACTCGGTATCGGATCAGATGCAAAAAAATCAGATCAGGACATCCCTAGTTAAAAGAGGCTTATAATTTGAATCAAATTAAGGAAGTGTTGAGTTTGAAATGACGGTGCAATGCATTAACTTTATAAAGACAACGGAGCAGATAAAAAGTAAATATATAAACACACAGAGGGATTAATGAATAACAGACCATCTATAATGTAGTCTGTTTCAAATGAAGCTGGGAGCCTCTGCAGTTGTGGTGAGTAAAAGCCCCGCTGCTACTTGTTAATGTTATTACTTTATGTCCGACTGTGAGGATGTAACATTGTTTGCTAGCTTGATGCTAATGACAGTAACATTAACTCAGCAGGTTGACAAAGTGCCTCTGTTGTTTAACACCATCATTTCCCCCTTTTACTCTGTGTGGTAACATCCCTAGAGGAAATATTAAAAACGCTGGGGTGTTGTTGTCATACAGTTGTCTACGGCAGCAGATCGTTCTGTGTTTCTACTGGTCAAAGTGACGGCTGTGATGGGAGAATTGGATCTCAGTGAAGGGCAAGTGGTCCATAACTTTAATTTTGGAGACAAAAAAAATGTAGGCTTAGCACCCTGTGGTCCATTGCCCAATAGGAAATGTAGAATACTCAAAAGTACTTTAAAAGTGCTTAAGTTACTTTACTCAGGGAGTAACGCAGTAAAGTAACTGGTTACTTTTCAAAAAGGTAACACAGTAAAGTAATTTGATTACCTTTAAAGTAACCCTTACCCAACTCTGCTGTTAAACAGACTCTGTCTTTAGCATGTGGTTGCTGCCAGCTTCACTGTTTGCATGTTGAGTTTTGCCAAGTGATAATGCAGTTGGTTATGCAGGGTTTAGAAGCGTAGGCTAAATTTTCTGGAACTGAATTAATAAAGTGGAATGTTTTAACTACAGAATGAATTCATTTGATTTAGTTTAATGAGAAATGTAAAATCATATACAAGGTTGCTCTGCTGCTTTTCATTGCCTCTGGTACAATGAGGTGTTCATTTTAATATTTATACAAATTTTTTACACAGTTCTATGTAGTTTTTACCTGTTGGAGAGCCGTGGAGTCGCGCACAGAGAAGAAAAAATAGACTAGCCACATAAAAATAGAGAAGAGCTGCGTGATACACACGTGGGCAGGTGCAACTTCTGGGGTCAGTGTAGCAGTCTTAAGGCCTGAACATACTTGGGCGGAACGTACGCGGAACGGACTCTGCGAGGAATGTCCGCAGTCATTCAGGCTTTCATAGTCGAGCACACTTCCGAGTTGTAGTTTCCTGTAAAAATGCCCGTGAAAAATCCCAGCGATGTGAAAAACACATGCCGAGCAGTCACTGGTGCGCGGAGCGGAGTCCGTGCGGTCGTAAAATCTGAGCTTTGCACGCACAGGGCTTGCAGACATCCGCTTTGAGTCCGCGCAGACCTCCGGAGTCCATTCCGTGTACGTTCCGCCCGAGTATGTTCAGGCCTTTAATATGATATAATGTACCTGCTCTGCTGTGGGCATACTGCCACAGACATGTGGCACCATATGCAGGTCCCATGTATTTCGGCCATCATACAAACCACATAAAGAGGTGAGAAGTCCCAGACATCACCAAGCAGTTTTACTGGTGTAAACGTGGCCGTAGCTTCACTACAGTTGTCACAGATCAGAAAACAGTCATTTTAAG